GTTTGGCTGGCCTTAGCCAATATAAATATCTGTTTTGAGGTTACTTAGGATACATGACTGACACAGGAAGTAGCTACGACAGTTTAGTCAGAAATGGCTGGCAACATTTCTCTGCAAAGCAGACTCTGCACCATTCATCAGTGTCGTATGACGCTCAGGCTTAATTATTTATATGCATTCTTATTGGGATTACCCATAACAAGGACTCAGAATCTTCAGCTAACATGCAGTGTAGCTGCTCTTTTGTTGAGTTTGGTGAGCCATGGTGAATTCATAACCCTGCTGCTCTCTGCTCTGCATTAGCTATCTTTTTTGCAGGCATGTAAGTACAGTCTAAAAGTAGCTTGAGATGGAGTTATTTGAAAATCACAGTTACTTTTAACAGGATTATTCCAATCACTGCAAATGAAAAGAAACATAAATGCAACAAGAGTTCAATTTGGTGTTTAGTCCAGTTCATGAATATACATAGTTGTTACTTGTGGTTACTAGAGATAATTAAGGAGACATTTTCATTAGTATGTGGGTTTGGAGGGGGTTTTAATTTCCTTTTTATTGCAGTTTGAGATGTGATTATATATATATATATATATATATAGGATGACATGTTTGGTACTTTAAAATCAACTGTGTTAGGAAGTTGTTTATCTGAATGCCAATGTTCTCAAATGTAAGACCAGTAACTGAGTTTCAGATGGCTTGAAGAAAGACAAATGTATTAATTGTGTCTACTTCTAAATACTTCTCCTATTATTATCATTTATTAGCTCTACATTTATGATTGTGAGAATCTGGGACAGGGGTGTCCTATCTGGGATGTGCAGTTTTCAAAGAGTCCAGGGGCTTCATTTCAGATGAAATTTCTAAAATCTGATGCTTTCTTGAATCTTTTCCATCTAAAAAGTTGGTGAGGACCTACTTCATATAACTTCCTATCATTTTCAGTTAAGATGAAAATACCTGACAATAGTATTTCTTAACACATTTTGTTATATCTGTCTCTGGAGCCATCTGAAACAAACTAGTGCAAGGGCCTGTGAAAATAACTTAAATTTTAGTTTTATTTTAACTGAACTTTCTTGAATCTAAAGAAATGTTCATAGTCTCTTCCATTTAGGGCAGATGTTTACACTGTCTATTTTTGTCAAATTGTCTTGCATCTCTATGGCATACATGTCTGCCTTTAATATCCTTACTGCAAAAACCACTTAGTGCAATCGGTTACAAGGATTAGGAAAAGTAATAGCTAACAACCTGACCCTGGAAGTTCTTAAGCACTTCCTGAGAAGTACTGAATACAGAGATGCTTTCAGTAAAATCAGTATGAATTGCAGACAGTTAGCAAACTCTCAGATTAGGCCTTCAATTCACAAAAAGCTTATTGAAATGATATTGGAGAACAAAACTTGCAGGACAATCAAACCATTTTAACTCTACTTTCCCACTCAGCTCCAGCTGTATGTTGTATATCACTAGCCAAAGGTCATACAGGTTGGGTTCCATATGTATTCTGTTTATCATAGTTGAAGTAGAATCCTCCTATTTTGATATTCTGAAGTAGTGTTAAAAATAACTATTGTGAGCACATGTAATATCACATTTATGACCTTTCTGTCCATCCACTCACTTCTTTTCTCCCGTTCATCTATTTAAAAACAATTCACTTTTGCTGTAGTGTGTTGTGATGAAATGTACTATGCTGCAGGGGTAGCGAACCTTTTTTGAATTGGGAGCCACTGACCCACAGAAAAAACACACCTCACAGATGTGGCTTCTAAGCAAGAAAAAGAAGAAACAACAACAAATGGTCTGGTAGCACTTTATAGACTAACAAAACATGTAGATGGTATCATGAGCTTTCGTGGGCACAGCACACTTCTTGAGATGACCAGAGTGATGAGTTTAGGATGTGTACACCCAAAGTTAATAGGAGAGGGGGAGGCACTGCTATGGATATTGGAAAACTGGACAGTCTCTGCAGGAAAGAATCAATGGACACAAATCAGATATATATAAAGGAAACATACAGAAACCTACTGGGGAGCACTTCAGTTTTCCACATCACACTTTAAAAGATCTCCAAGTAGCTGTCTTGTCACAAGCCAGTTGTACAAGCCAGATCCACAGGGAAGCATTGGAATTAGAGTTCATTCACAAATTCAATTCACATGCTAATGGACTCAATCGTGATGAAAGTTGGTTGGGACACTACCAATTTAACAGCCACTGAAGGTGCAAACAGCTTTTTGTGTAGTATCCTTCCTGACATGGGAGTCTATCTATTGACTTTGATTCTTATCTGCTTTAGTTTAACTACCCAATCTTCAGATACTTACTGATTCCCTCTGCTCTGTGTCTCCCACCCCCCTTCCTTTTTCTTCCCTCCACCCTCCCATTCCCCTCAAAAAATGAGGAAAAACGGCTCTTGCACAAAAGGGGGGGGGGGTTGCGCAAAAAGGAGTCGGCTACACAGAGCTTTTTTGTGCAAAATCCTTTTGCGCAAAAGGGATTTGAGGAAATGCAAATGAGTGTGACATATGCAAATGAGTGCTTCATTTGCATTTCCTCTTGCAGAAGAGCATTGTAGTACAGAGGTAGCCCCAGATAACAGGGTTGTTGCAAATCCCAGCCAGCCAGCTAGCACACAGTGGGAAGCTGCGCGCGTGCACATGCACTAATACACCCCTTGCTCCAAACCCCACCCAGCCAGAACAGAGAGAAACTGTGCAGTGGCATGCACACACTTCTCGATCCCCACCAAACTTAGCCACCCACCTCAAGCCTCTTCCAACACAGCCTGGTATGGTCACATTAAATTATTCATATGTGCCCTCCTCAGCACATCGTCCTGGGCAGCCACCCTGGTCGTTCAGGTCTAGGGCTGGCAGTGCCTGCATGGATACTGTTTTTGAATGAAAAGGTGTTGATGCGGCTATTAAAAGGCTTCTTTGTTGGCAGGGTCATTGTGCTTGTTGATTGGTGGTTGTTGGGTTTATTTTATTGTCACTGCATGATGGTTGGATGCTTGCACGTGCAGCTGTGCTTTAGCAAATCAGAATATTGGCTTGAGCAACTGTCAGTGTGCTGATGAAAGTAGTGCATAACTAAGCACTCCTTGAACTGGTAATTGAGTAAAAAGTACAATATTTTCTAAAAAAAACTACTTGAGTAAAAGTCAAAAGTATCACAAAAATAAATTACTTGAGTAAAATACAAATACTGAAAAAATGTACTTGGGTAGTATAACAAAGTACTTCTATTTAGTTACTGTCCACCTCTGCTCGAGAGCCAGTCTGTGCAGGGAGCCGATTTCTAAACTGGCTCCCCTCGTGGACCGGCTCCCCCTGCCATCCCTTGCTGCTGCCTCTGATACAGAGGCAGCAGTGTTGGGATTGCAGGGGGCTCCCTGAGAGTGGGGCTGGGAGTGCACTGGCTGCCAGCCCCATCCCCAGGCAGTATTTCAGTAACCTTGTAACTGATAAAATAAATGTTATCTAACATCGCTAGTATGTGGCATGTTCCAGGGTGCTGTCAGAAAGTGAAAGGGAGTAAGGAGTTAAATTTAAGAGAGAAAGTGCCTTGGACAGGCACTTGCCAAGCCCCTGGACCACATCCTGAACAATATAAACTTCACTTCCATTTATGAAAAATGTCTGCCTCCTCTTAGTTGGAAATATATGGTGTAAGATGTCATGAGTGTCAGACTTATAAGGAGAGATTTATTGTACACTGAGATGAGTTGAGTGATCTTGCATAAAGAAACTAATACATTAACCCCTGTCGTTATCTTTTCCCATCATAGCGTAATAAAACCTGCACATCTAACATTTGGGTTGGTTTTCTTGGCTTTGAGTAGTGATACGTAACTAGGGATCTCTAGTGGTAATGGAGGTGAACAAGTGTTATGTATCT